GCCTAGTACCTTATGTGGGACATATGCACATGCAGTGGTTTAGCGATTCGATTCAAAATGGCCGACTGGCAGCCATCTTGTTTTTTGAAAATGTTGTATTTTGGACATGCTTTGTCAGTTTTCATTCAAACTTGGTACATAGATTATACATGTTAGGATACATGTCCATGATGATTTATTTCACAATTGGATCAAAGATGGCTGACTGGCAGCCATCTTGTTTTTTGAAAATGTCGTATTTTGGACATGCTTTGTCAGTTTTCATTCAAATTTACTACATAGATCATACATGTTAGGATACATGTCCCTGATGGATCAAAGATGGTCGACTGGCAGGCATCTTGTTTTTGTTTTTTTATGCGGTATCTTGGACGTGCTCTGTCAGTTTTCATTCAAATTTGGCACATACCGGTACATGTACTTTATACATGTTAGGATGCATATCCATGACAATTTGTTTCAAAATCTGGTCAAGGATGGCCGATTGACAGCCATCTGACTTTTTGGCCTTACTACTATATTTCCACAATTTATGTACCATTTTCATTCGTATTTGGCACATACATCATACATATCAGTGTGTTTCATAATCAGATCAAAGATGGCTGAACAACGGCTGTTTTTATTTTGGCCATATTACTATGACAGGAAACACGTGTTTTGATGTAAATAAACAATCTGTTGTATACGCCACTTGGAACTCAAGTTTCAAGGACACGCTCGCGACAACCCCTCCGCTTTAATATGACGAGCACAAAGAGAACTTAACGGGGACTGTGTCATTTTCAATGACTTGTTTAATTTAATTTTTACTATATAGTTTTATTATTTTGTAAATGGTTTTCATTATTATTACGTACATCTTTTTTTTTGTATTGTGGGCTTTAGCAATTACCAAAAAAAAATTCCAGCAAATAAATACTAAATTAAAATAAAATGCAGTAAATAAAGGAAAATGTATAATAATAATAAATAATTATACATATATTTAAAAAATAAATAAAATAAGCCCAAACTAGAATATTATTTGAATCAAGTTGAGGTAAAACAATAATTGTCATTTATGTTTTTGTTTTCCCAAGTAAAACATTTTACATGCTAAGATTAGGAAATTTACTCTTTATTATGTTCTATTAAAACATCTTATCAAGTATGAGGGGTCTTCTCAAGTTTGCCAAAAAATGAAAGGCATTTCATACATACATGGATTGTACACCTTCCTCACCTGTACATGAAAGTAAAATATTTTTGATGAACTGAAAATGCACAAAAAAAACATTAATTGTACAACTACAGAAATTACAGAAAAACAGTATCCTCCCATTTGATTGGGGGGGGGGGGGGGCTTCAACAATTTGAAAACACCACTAAGGCTTGTTTGTAGAACATGGCACCTTCTTGAATCTAAAAA